GCCACCAGGGAAGCCCTCTTTCTCTTTCTTTTCTCTCTTTCTCCCTCTCTCTTCCTTCCTTCCTTTTTGTCTTCGTTCCTTCCTTCTTTCCTTCCTTTCTTTTCTCTTTCTCGTTCTTTCTTTCTCCCTTCCTTCTTTCTTTCTTTTTTCTTTTCTCTTTCTCCCTTCCTTCCTTCCCTCCTTTCAATCTTTCTTTCTTTCTTTCATGGGTGGGATGGGGAGAGAACCTGGAGATTTCTCTTTCTTCTTAGAAGCTCATTGATGCATTTTGAAGGAGCAATAGGGGCTGTAGCATGGATTTCTTTGGGGTAGGAGTAACTTTTACCTGATATAATTTTGAACTTATGGAAAGTTTCAATACTCATACAAAGAGCAAGATAGGTGCAGGGGATTAAGGGGTACAAACTACTATGTATACAATATATAAGCTACAAGGATATATTGTATAACACAGGGAATACAGCTAATATTTTATAATGATAAATGACTATGGTGTACACCTGCAACTTATATAATATTGTACATCAACTATATTTCAATTTAAAAAAAGACTTGTAGGGATTTCCCTGGTGGTGCAGTGGTTAAGAACCTGCTTGCCAATGCAGGGGACACGGATTCGATCCCTGGTCCGGGAAGATCCCACATGCCGCGGAGCAACTAAGCCCGTGTGCCACAACTACTGAAGCCCGTGCGCCTAGAGCCTGTGCTCTGCAACAAGAGAAGCCACCACATGAGAAGCCCACGCACCGCAACGAAGAGTAGCACCCGCTCGCCGCAACTAGAGAAAGCCCACGCGCAGCAACCAAGACCCAACACTGCCAAAAATAAAAATAAATAAATAAATTTATTTTTTCAAAAAAGAGATTTGTACAAAGAACTCCATATATCCTTAACTAGGCTCCCCGATTATCGCTATTCCCGCCCCCTTTTGCTTTCTCATTCACCCTCTATGTCTATATATTATTATGTATTTACCTTTCCAGAAATATTTGAGAAAACATTGGAGATACCATGCCCCTTTGTCCCGAAATACTTCAGTGTGTATTTGCTAAGAACAAGGACATTCTGTTTAATAACCGCAGTACAGAGATCAAACCCAGAAAATTTTAACATGGATAAATGACTGCTATCTAAAGTTCAGAACTCATTCCAATTTCATTGTGTCTTGTTAATATCCAGGATATCACCTGGATTACTCAACGAACTGCATTTCCTTGTGTTGACTCTGGTCTCTGTTAATATACATAGTTTCCCCATCTTTTGCTTGACCTTGACATTTTCCAAGAGTCGAGGCCAGTTGTTTTGCAGACGGTTGTCGGTCGTCGACTGGAATTTGTTTGATGTTTCCTTGTGATTAGATTCAGTTTAGGCAGCAGAGTTTCTTAATCTTCCCAAATTCCACCCCTCCCCCCCCGGGGAGAGCCAGTTGGATAGCAGAAGCTCACAAACAATGCTTTACAAAACCAGCCGACAGTGGAGCCCCATGAACCCTGAAATATGAGTGGGTGAGGCCAAACCAGGGCCAGTACAGGAAGAAAAGGAAACGAGCAAAAGTGCTATGGGGCTTCCCTGGTGGCGCAGTGGTTGAGGGTCCGCCGGCCGATGCGGGGGACGCGGGTTTGTGCCCCGGTCCGGGAGGATCCCACATGCTGCGGAGCGGCTGGGCCTGTGGGCCATGGCCTCTGAGCCTGCGCGTCAGGAGCCTGTGCTCCGCAGCGGGAGAGGCCACAGCAGTGAGAGGCCTGTGTACCGCAAAAAAAAAAAAAAAGTGCTATGAAGATTGGAAACTTCCCACCAGTCCTCACCTCTAGAGGAGAGGTTGCCCTCATAGCTGAGGACTTGGTGAGATAATCTGAGAACAACAGCAAAATGGTGTGTGTATGTGTGTGTGTGTATTGGGGGAGTGGGACTTCCCTTGTGGCCCAGTGGTTAAGAAACCGTCTTGCAACACAGGGCATGCTGGTTCGATCCCTGGTTGGGGATCTAAGATCCCACATGCTTTGAGGCAACTAAGCCCAGGCACCGCAACCACTGAGCCCGTGCACTCTGGAGCCCACGCGACACAACTAGAGAGAGAAGCCTGCACGCTGCAACAAAGAGCCCACGCACCGCAATGAAAGATCCCACATGCCGCAACTGAGACCCAAAGCAGCCAAAAAAATAATAATAAACAAATATTTTTAAAATTGTGTGTATGTTTGTGTGTGTGAAGCTTCACAGGCTCCAATTAGTAGTTGGGGTGTGCTGGGGTGGTCTGGGTCCTCAGAGATCTCAGAATTACTCAACGGAATCTCTCTTTTGGAAGAACAAAACTCCATACTTAAAAAAAAATTATTATTGAAATCTATTGACAGATAACATTGTATAAATTTAAGGTAAACAACATGTTAATTTGATACATTTATATATTGTAATATGATTGCTATTGTAGTGATAATTAGCATCTATCACGTTACAGAATTATCCTTTCTTTTTAGTGGTTGGACAAAGCTCTATTCTTGTGAAAACGAATGGAAGCAAAACCCAGATTGATTGTGGCAGGAACTCTGGGGGTAAAGGAGAGAAAAGGTTCAGGTACCGGGGGGCAGGGGGGAAGTAAACGGAGGAGGTATATCTCTCTCTGAAATATTGGCAATGTGACTATGCTGAGAGGTTGTATTTTTTCATACTGTATGGAAACAGCAGAACTATGAGAATGATAAGGCTAGGAAAGCTATCCTGACCACCCCACTCCCTACCAAACAAATTCCTCAATTACTTACATGTGAGCAAGAGAAGATGGATTGTGGCAACTGCATATAGAGATGTATACTGAGTTAAATAGCATCCCCTGGAAACGCCCGTCCCCTGGAACCAGTGAATGTGGCCATATTTGGAAATAGGGTCTTTATCAAGTTAATATGAGGTCATACTGGGTTAGAGTGGTACCCTCGTAAGAAGAAACAGACACTCGGGGAGAAGGCCATGTGAAGATGGAAGCAGAGATAGGAGTGTTGTGTCTAAAGCCGAGGGATGCCAAGGATTGTCAGCAACCACCAGAAGCTGGGAAGAAGCAAGGAAGGATCTTCCCCTAGAGCCTTTAGAGAGGGCATTGCCCTGGTGACACCTTGATTTCAGACTTCTAGCCTCTAGAACTGTGAGAGAACAAACTTCTGTTATTTTCAGCCCTGTAGTTTGTGGTACTTTCTTACCGCAGCCCTAGGAAACTAATAAATCCTCATTCCATTCTCCCACCAGTTGGTGGCAGCCACTAATCTGATTTCTGGCCCTATGAATTAGCCTTTCTCCCAGAATTTTGGATTCAATAGGTCTGGGCTCCAGAACGTGCATTTCTAACAAGTTCCCGGGTGATGCTAATGCTGCTGGTTTGGGGCCACGCTTTGAGAACAGCCACTCTACAGCATCTCAAGTTTAGACCACTTGGGGTGCAGGTTCCGGCCAACGAAAGAGCAAACTAGGGCCACCCCCCAGCCCCTAGAGCTCACCCTGGAATCTGGACTCTCTGTCAATCAATTCATCTACCAGCTCCCCTTCCCAGACTGGCTGCCCAGTTTGCTGTCAATTTCAAGGGGAAGATCTTGCAATTCTTTTGGTGCGTGTCATAGTTCCTCACTGATCACGCTTTGTACCTCACCCAGTGGAGGCTGCCAGGAGTCAAGTCTAGAAGCATTTGGAGATAAGGAGGTGGATCCTGAGGAAGATCGGCAGCCCTGTGTCAGGCAGCAACCTCAGAGGATGGTCTTTGGACAAGGGGACACTAACCTGCTTCTACCAGAAAGGAGGCACTACAAGTTGGGGGCTCAAAGTGCTCAGACCAAGTGACAGGTGCTCGTTTGAACACATTTTGCAGGTTCCCTGTCTGATTCCCTCTTTCTGGGTCCCCGCCCCCTTGTGGCATTTCAGATTCTGTTTCCAGTGAGAACTCTCCCTTGACTGAGCCAGTCTGGTTCCATCGGAGTGGGAAACTGTATTTTCTACAAGACACAGACCTTCATTTTCTCCAGGCATTGAATCCCTCCCATGACCTTCTGGGACCCACACTTATATTCCTTTTGACTGAGATGTTCCTCTCACTTGGACCTTGGAATTTAGATCAAGGGCTTGAGACCACAACTCCTGTGAGGCTGCAGTGGTCAGTCAGACACCTGGGGTCCAGCCAAAGCTGACCCACCCCTGTGAAATGTAGTCTAAATCTTTGACTTCAAATCTTTCCTAACCAGGAAATAACTTGCACAGCAATATTGAAATCTAAGTTGTGGAAAGGGAGGAAGATGGGCAACGTGCTCACTGAGACTGGATTCTGTGACAGTCATTACACTCCAAAGTCCATAAGCACCTGGATGGAAGCATTCAGATTCTCAGGTCCTTTTCCTGAGACCCAGGACTCCCAATCTTCAGCCCCTTCTCTCTCAGACCAGCGTGCCCAGGTTCTTATTCCCCTGTTCTCCAGGATCCAGGTGTCCAGGTGTCCAGCTCACTGATCCCTCAGGACCCAAGAGTGTGTTCCTAGAACCAACTACACTCCCAGAATCCAAGAGTCCTTGCCCCAGCACTGAGGACCAAGATGTCTTTCCATTCCTAGTGCTAAATGAACCCAGAAAACTACATTTCCCATGAGGCTGTGGGTCTGCTGTGTCATTTTTTTAAAAATGTCTCCCGTTATTGAGTTACCTCAGAGAAATAGTTCCACAACACTAACACAAGGTTGGGGACAGGGGGAGGGGGAGGGGGAGAATAACAAGTCTTGTCCTGTCAAAGGGCAGGGATAGTCCAGAGTCCCTGGGAACAACTTAGTGGAGCAGAAATCTGAGGGCTGGCCAGGGGAGGGGGGCAGAAAGGCTGGGACCTTCCCACAGCCTTGTGGCAATGCGGGGGCGGGGCAAGGGGAGACAAGGAAGCTGACCCCATTTCCTCCCTCAAACACATGTGCTCACTCTGATCCTCCTCTCAGACGCTTTATTATTTCAAGTAAGAAAAAAAAGAAAATAAATAAGATAAATAATACGATAAATAAAGAGGAGACTCAGTAATAAACAGCCTGTGGCTTCAGGAAGTGTAGCTGGGGCTTCGGCCATGTGAAGGTCCCACCATGCTCAAGGGGTCCGAGGAGCCCACGTTGGGAGGCTCGGGGGCCAAGATCCCTGGAGGCTCCAGGGGTGGCGGGAGGAAGCCTGGCAGCGGCAGGAAGCGAGCAGGTCCCCGGGGGGCCAGGTCCCAGTTGGAGGAGCGGTGCGGGGGCAGGCGGAGGGGAATGCCAAGAGCCTCAGACTGGTAAACGTTGTATCCATCCTCAAGAAGCAGCTCCCGGAAGCTACAGGCCTGGGGGTTGAAGTGGAGCTGAGGGGATGAGAACAAAGATCAGAGACGTGGGATTCCTCTACACCTTCCTCCTGCAGGAACCCCAGCTCCATCCTCTCCCACACTCAGGGATGCAGGCCCCCAGCTCTCTCTTCCTTCAGACCACAGAGTCCTGTCCTCCAGCAGGATGTGGGAGTCCCGGGACTCCCGGGGAGCCGGGGAACCCACTCCTTCCTCAGATGCAGAGTCCAGGTCCCCAGCCCCTTCCTCAAAACCACAGAAGCAGGCTCTTCCTTTACCCCTAGGCAGTCCCGCCAGGCTCACCTCCTTGCCCTCACTTCACAGAGAAGAATATTCCAGCCCAGGGATCAGTGGAGGCTCTCTAAGTCCTGGCAGGGGCATCTGGCTAGCACCCAAGGTCATGTTCACTTTACAGGCCATCGATTCCCAGAGTGACCCTGCACCCAGCATGAGTCAGGTCTGTAGGAGCCTGTGTGGTCAGCATGGGTTACAAGTCACAAGACTCGGTCTCCCAGGTCATTCTGTCATTCACAGGCTTTGTGACTTGGGGCCGGTGGTGGCCCTGCCTGAGCCTCAGTTTCCTCTTCTTGTGAACATGGATGACAACAGCTGCCCTTTCCAGGGATTGTGGCGAGGTCGGGGCATGCAGAGAGCATCGAGCCAAGCCTGGCCAAGGTCAAAGGTGCAAAACATGGTCCCCCAGACTGTGAGGGTGGGGAGAGGAAGGGTGGAGCGCAGGGACAGGGGTCCTGGAAACTCACCGATCCATACAGCCTCCCCTCTGGCCCCTGGCACAAGAACCTGGATGTTTTAACTCCCAAGATTTGAATGACCCCTGGCTTCAGGGCTTTCAGCTCCAGAAGACCTGAGAGGAGAAAGTGATCAGGGACTCAGAAGGCCTTTGCCCATCCCTCTCCTCCCTCAGACCCAGGAGGCCAGCCCCCAATTCTCTCCTCCCTCAGGACCAGGCCCTACCCCTACACTCACTTTCGGGGCTCCGGCGGGCCGTCCCCACCACTGTGCCATCAGCCCTGATCTCCAGGTGGGCCTCCGTCTCCTGGGCGTCATCCGTGTAGAGGTATCGCTGGCGGACTTGGCCCCCAAATTGGAGGAGGGGGCTGGAGTCAGGAATGGGATGTGCCTGGCAGGGTCCCAGCAGGACAGCTAGCACAGGGACCCACAGTCCCAGGTGCTCGAATTTGGTCTTGTCCCAGCCCATCAATGGTTCACGTCCTCAAGTGAGGTATGGGGTCTGGGCTTTGAAGACCTGAATGGTCTAGATTCTGTTTCAGAGCCTGGCTGTCGGGGAGAGCAGATTCACGACGGCTTCTCTGGTAGCTGAAATGCCTGGGTCCTCTCGCACGTAGATTCACAGCTGACAGGACACCCAAATCTCTTGGGAAGAATGCAGATGCTCCAGAATTTATACCCAGACAGACCCGCCCAATCACCTTCCCGACGCTTGACCCTTGATATTTGACCCACATGGCAGATGCTAGAATTCCACGGTGGCCAGGTCAGCCTGAACGGATGATGCAATCAGGGGTCCTTCCAGCTGAGGCCCTGGGCTCCTGGGTCTGAGGCATCAGGGGGATAGAAATGTGATGAAGTGGGACCTGAGTGAAAGGGGCTTGGGGCCCAGCCCATTTGGTCTGAGGCAGGAGGGAGCTGGGGTTTCAGACTCGTGGGTCTGAAGAAGCAGGAGGCTGGGGGTTCAGCTCTTGGGTCTGAGGGAGGAGGGGGCTGGGGGCCTGGACTCCTGAGTCTGAGCGGGAAGGGGGCTGGGATCCACCTCTCTGCCTGACTGATGCAGGTGTCCCACAACTGGCGTTTCTGCATCTCACCTGACTTTCTGGGTTTCTGCGGGTCAGACACTGAGGTTCCTCTGGCGTTTCTGCATCTCACCTGACTTTCTGGGTTTCTGGGGGTCAGACACCGAGGTTCCTTGGTCATTAAGAAAACAAGTGCTGCATGATCCAAGCGTTCTCCTCAAGGACACAGGAGTCCTGGTGTGGGAGCTTCAGACCAACCTGCTCACAAATCCCAGCCCAGGCACTCATACACCAAACAACCCAGCCTCCTCCTCCTGGACCCTGATGCAATCCTGATGTTTCTTTCACCAGAGAAGCTAACCAAGATCAGACCGGTGCCCTCAGAATAGCCTGGGGAAGTGGGGGGAGGGTGAGAATCTTTGACTCAGAGTTGACAACTGACACAGGCTCAGGAGGGAGAAGTTAGACCCAAGATCCCAAAGGGAATGAGGGGTTGGGCAATTTCCTGGAACCTAAACGTGCAAGAGTCTGAACACCAGATCTGAAGGAGGCGGGTGACTGGAGGCCCGGACTTCTCATTCTGAGGAGGGGGCTGGGGGCTGGGAATCCTGGGTCTGGAGAAGTTATGATCAGATCTCTAGAGAGTCAAGTCCAATTCCTGGGTCTTTGTTTTCTTGAATGGTAATGGTCAGACCGCTCGGGCCAGGCTGGGTGTTGGTGGGAAGAAGGCTCGGTGGAGGGAAGCCGCCTCACGTCTGCAGAAGAGGGAGGCTTTTGCTCCTAGCCGGGTCTGCCTCGGCCTCTGCGGAAGAGAGTTTCTCTTCCACTTCTGCTTTCTCTGTTCCCGTCCTCGGGAGAGGCGGGACGTTCCCTTCACCGTCAGGTGCCTGACGCTAGGGTTCGCTCAGACGGAGAGACTGGGAGCCGGGAGTCTCGAATTTGCGGGTGGATGGGGCGGAGTGGGGATCGGCGGCCCCTGGTGGGCGCGGGGACACGTTCCCGCCAGAGGCTGTCACGCCGGACTCAGAGCCGGCGGAGGCTTTGCACCCGCCCATGGAGCAGCCAGGTTAACAGGTTCTGCATCTCCACGGGAGGACGCGACAGGGGGCGGAAGCCGCTGGGCCGTGGCCGGACTCGGCGCATCCTGGTACACAGGGCGGATGGCGAACCCAGAAACTGGAGGGGAAGAGGGAGAGGTCGAAGTCCAGCGTTGCAGCTGGGCGCTAGATCTCGGTGTCCACGGAAGGATGGGCTGCTAGGAGGCCAGGTAGGCTGCCCCTGGCTGGCCGATGTCAGGCAGGAGGGGGGCTGGGGCGCGGGTCTCCTGGTCCGGGGAAGGGAGGACGGCGGGGGCTGCGGCCCTAGAACTGGGAGCTGCGGCTCGGCGCCAGGGAAGGGGCGGTGCTCCGCCTCCGAGCTACCTGCCGGCCGGGGAGGGGCGGGGCTGGGATCCTCCGGACCGCATCCCCTCTCTTACCTCCCCTTCCCGAGCCCTCGCAGCCAGTCGGGGGAGGCGGCGTGGAGGGGGAGGGCTGTCGGGCCTGGGAACCTGGAGTCCAGGGTTCCGGGGGCCGCCGGATGTGGGCTGCACTTGGGGCCGGAACGCTCCGTTCACGCCAAGCTGACTGTGGAGCTCAGGTAAGTGAGAAATGCAGATGCCTCGGACCCAGGAATCGGGCCTTCAGTCCCAGGAGGCGCTTCCCCCACCTCTAACCCCCTATGACCCCCAGGAGTCTCCTCCACCCCGACCCCCAACTCCTGCTTCTCCAGGAAACAAGATCCCCCATCCAGGCCTGGACCTCCAGCCTCTCATGTTCTACTTGGCCCGTTGCTTCCTGCCATCTCCCTGGTGGACCCTGCCCCTCACACACAGGTTCACCGAGAAAGGAGTTGGGGGAACACTGTCCAACGTCAGTGGACCTTACTGCCTGGGAGAGTGAAATTCCAAGACGTGAGGACAAGGTGGTGGGTCCCGGACCATTGCTATTTTGGAAACCACTAATTTTCACCATCTTCCATCTGCCGAGATTCCAAGCCCTTAGCTTCTCCTAATTCAGATCCAGGAGCCCTGATCCCCTTTTCCCTCAGACCCAGGTCTCCAAACCCAGAGTTTCCTCATTCTCTCAGGCCGCTCCTCCTTGACATTCATTCTCAAGCTTCGAGTATCTCGTAATTCACTTTTCTTCCCTCGTAGCCATGTGGGCACCCAGGCTCCGTCACCTGTCTGACCTTCCTGCTAACCTGTGTTTTTACCTCAATCTTCTTCTTCCACATCCACCAAGACCTCTTTCACAGTGGCTTAGGCCTGTCTGCCCTATGTCCAGACCGTAACCCAGTGACCTCCCCTGTGGCCATCATCTGTCTGTCGGGCACACCCATGAACCCCAACGCCTCTGTCTCCTGTCCCAAGCATCCTGCTTCCCTCTCAGGAACCTGGACTATCTACCCAAACGGCCGGCTTGGGAACCGGATGGGGCAGTACGCCACGCTGCTGGCCCTGGCCCAGCTCAACGGTCGCCAGGCCTTCATTCAGCTTGCCATGCACGCCACCCTGGCCCCCGTGTTCCGCATCACCCTGCCCGTGCTGGCGCCTGAGGTGAACAGCCGTACGCCTTGGTGGGAGCTGGAGCTTCACGACTGGATGTTGGAGGAGTACGCCCGACTGAAGGAGCCCTGGCTGAAGCTCAGCGGTTTCCCCTGCTCCTGGACTTTCTTCCATCACCTCCGGGAACAGATCCGCAGTGAGTTCACCCTGCACGACCACCTTCGGCGAGAGGCCCAGAGTTTACTGAGTCAGTTCCGGCTCAGCCGCACGGGGGACCGCCCGAGCACTTTCGTGGGTGTCCACGTGCGCCGTGGGGACTACCTGAAGGTGATGCCCTATCCCTGGAAGGGTGTAGTGGGTGATCGCGCTTACCTCCAGCAGGCTATGGACTGGTTCCAGGCCCGGCATGAAGCCCCGATCTTTGTGGTCACCAGCAACGGCATGGAGTGGTGCCGGGAAAACATCGACACCTCCCGGGGGGATGTGATCTTCGCTGGCGATGGGCAAGAAGGTGCCCCCAGCAAGGACTTTGGGCTGCTCACACAATGCAACCACACCATCATGACTATTGGCACCTTCGGCTTCTGGGCCGCCTACCTGGCTGGTGGAAACACCGTCTACCTGGCCAACTTTACCCTGCCTAACTCCAGCTTCCTGAATATCTTTAAACCCGAGGCCGCCTTCCTGCCTGAGTGGGTGGGCATTAATGCAGACTTGACTCCACTCCAGATGTTGGCTGAGCATTGAGCAGCAGGGAGACTTTCTGAAATAGTCTGATCAACCTAGGGCAAGTGTTATGTATCTCTGGAAGCCCAGCAGCTTCTGGAGAAGCTGGTGGTCCTGCAGCTGGTGGACACCCATTTCTAGAGTGATTCTAGTTGGCTAGACTTGGAGAAAAAGGGGGGCTGGCTTTCTGCAACTGCCAGAACATTCTAGAATCAATGGAAGATCTTTTCATGATGGCTGGCAACGTCTGCAGAAGCTCATGGCAGTTCTAGAATGCACAGTGCCCACCTGTTCTTCCCAGCCCATATCCAGAGTACTTCTAGATCACTGCCCCACCAGGAACAGGGAACTCCCTGTTCCAGCATTGACCATCCTGGTCTTTTTGAGAAGAGATATTTCTCTTCCCTGGGTCATCAGGACAGAAGAAACTCATGGATGTGCTATAGTAAGCACTCACCAACTTCCCTTCTGTGTTTCTGGAATGTGTTTCCAGAGGAGGGATTTTTTCCGGAGAGGGTCAGCTCTAATGCCTGTAAAGAACCCTGTGGGGACCTTCCAGAGGGCTTGGGATTCCGGAATTCCGGATCACCTCGGCAAAGAAGCTAACAAAGGTAAAACCAGCAGCCCAACACCTCACCACTGCTAGAAAGTTTGATGGACGACAAACTCTCTGTAGCTGGGGCAGTTTGTGTGACAAGTGGAACTTTACCCAACATTTCAGCCCCTGAAAAACCACAGATATGCTAAAACATGGGAGGGGTGGGGGAAGGGATGCTGCTGAATGCTGCAGCTTAAGGAGCAAGGCTCTGCAGAGATCTAGGGACACCATTTTTTTTTTTTTTAAGCTCAAAACTGCCAAAGGTAGACATGCACATCTTGGCTCCAAGTTCATGTTGCTTTACCCAATTAAGGAAGTTTCCTCCTCTGCAGCTGGGCTGCTGGGGAGTGATGGTATAACAGGGAAGAACAAAATCTGACTCCATGTTGGATCTGTTTCTTTTATGTTAACTTTTGCTTTCCCTTGCTTTTGTTACTATAATCACTAAAAGGATGCTATCTATAGCTATAAGCATACATGATGGTCTGCATTGGGAACTCTGCCCCTCTGACTGAATGTTAAACCAAAGTGCCTTTGTTCAGCTCACAGGGAAACATCCTGCCGCGCACCCATGAAGGACTGCAAGAAAGAAGAAATTAACACACCCCCTCCCCGATGCTGGCCAAGCCAGGAGATGTTTTGCAAGACTTATGGCCTTTTTACTTTACTTCCTCACCTCCTCCCCCTCTCTGTTCTATAAAAGAAACTAGCATCCAGGCCCCATAAGATGGTACTCTAGGACACTAGTCTGCCCTCTTCTCAAACACCCGGCTTTCTGAATAAAGTCACTGTTCCTTTCCTCAACACCTCATCACCCAATTTATTGGCCTGTCATGCAGCGAGCTTGGACTCGGTAACAATGGGGTTGATTTACTGAAAGTCAGCTGGCGTAAGCGTGCCCTGTGGGCTTGCAGAAAGCTGCAGGTACTGTGCCCCTTGCCAACCACTCTTGGCCCCTGAATTCACAGAGCCTCTAAATCTGGCTTTGGGTAAGTCAGGGATGAAAGAATCAGAAGGTATGCAGACCCAAGACTGGTCTCCAACCCAGGCAGGAGCACAGCGTCTGGCCAAAGAGGATGGGATTCATGACTCAGATTTCAGGACTCCCTTGAGGCTTTTTGAAGGAAGCGAAGGTAGACACTTTAATTACAGAGTTGTCTGAGAATGTAAGCCCTTTTCTAGTCTTCTCAGGGAGTTTTGGAGGACCAGTCCCTACTCAGCTGCCATAGGTGGGAGAGAGGGAAGTATGAATTAAAAATCCTCATCACCAACCCATCTCTGCAGGGTTTTTTGGGTTTTTTTTTCCCCTTCGGTATGCGGGCCTCTCACTGTTGTGGCCTCCCCCGTTGCGGAGCACAGGCTCCGGACGCGCAGGCTCAGCGGCCATGGGTCACGGGCCCAGCCGCTCCACGGCATGTGGGATCTTCCCGGACTGGGGCACGAACCCGTGTCCCCTGCATCGGCAGGTGGACTCTCAACCACTGCACCACCAGGAAAGCCCTCTGCAGGTTTTTTTGAGTCTCGTGTGCATGAGGGTGTGTGTAAGTGAGTAGGAGTAAAGGTGTGGAGCTTCCGGGGACTCTCACTTCTCACGTCTTGGGATACTGTTCCTGCTCTCTTGTTAGTGCACTTGTGTGAGTTATGGTCTCAGAGACCCAATTCCTTTCCTAGACTCTCAGCACTGGCCTCCAGACCTCTCTTTCCCCTGGGACCTCAGCATCCAGCCCGAGGCTGGAGAAAGAAGGCGGAGGGGTGGATGGGGGAGTGAGCAAAGATTATAATTAAAAAAAAAAAATTTTTTTTGTCCACGCTGCTTGGCATGCGGGATCTTAATTCCCCCACCAGGGATCAAACTCGAGTCCCCTGCAGTGGAAGCGCAGAGTCTTTTTTTTTTTTTTTTTTTTTTTTGATTAAAAAAAAAAATTTTTTTAAAAAATAAAATTTACAGAAGTTTCCAGACAAGCCATACAAAATGGTCACAAGCTTTTTCTTGAAGGGAGGATTCTACACTTGACAGCAAAGTCACAATGTTATTAGTGAGGGCTGTGATGTTTGTTTAATGTTCCCATTTTGGTTCAAACAATCAAGCTTGTCCATCTACAGTGTCTAAATAAAGTTAGACTTGGCTAGAGAGCATATTCTAAAGAACTGGTTAGCTGCTTTTAACCAATGCAATCAGATCACCATAAAAAGGGGGAAAGGAGTCCATAAAATTAAAATAAAACTACCTTCCCCCCACCACCAAAAAAATAATAATAATAAAGAAAAACACCCACACCTCTGCAGCTAACCCTGACAACTACCTTCATTCACAGTGCTTTATACTCAAACCATGATGGGGAAATGAATAAAAGCAGAGAAGGGCCACTGCTTTTAAACGTTTCGCAACAATCCAGATGACACTTCTAGCCTCTGCTCATGCTTTACAACAGTGAATCAGGACAAGACATAGATTTGCTAATGTGCATTTAATCACCAAAGGACTGAAGATGTCTGGGCTTTTATTCTGTAATGTTTCTAAGACTGTGTCCATTAAATGCAAACAAAAAAGGAAGAAGTCTTGGCAGAACAAGAGAAGTGATGCACACTTGATGATCGGATCGATTTAAATATTATTCATGGCATATAGCCTAGTCCATGCTCTAGCCGTTTCTATGGCTTGGGCTTCGTTGGTCTTCCACTGCTCCGCTACATCATTTGCTAATGGATCATCTGGATTGGGAGCAGTTAACAAAGCCTGGATCGATAGCAGAACTGTGCGGATCTGCAGTGCTGGGGACCACTTATCTTTCAAAATATCTAAACATATTCTTCCCAACTTGTCTACATTAGGATGATAAATTTTGGTCATGAAACGTACTTTAGGGGCTGCCATTGGGTATTCTTCTGGAAGGAATAGTTCAAGTTTAAAAGTCCCTCCCTCAAAGGGGGAATCCTGAGGGCCAGCAATGACCACATGAAAATAACGGGCGTTGCTCTCATCTGGTTCTGCTTTAATGCCGGGAACTGGCTCTGCCAGCAAACGCTGGGTTTCCTTGATAATCCTGCGGGGCAGCCCGGCCATCTTGTCAGATCCCGAGTTCGGCCTCTGGTCTCGTCTCCCAAGCGCAGAGTCTTAACAGATGGACCGCCAGTGAAGTCCCAACATTATAATTCTTGAACTACATTTCCCATAAAGCTATGGGGTTGTCTGCAGTAATCTGCTACGGGGAGACCCCAGGGCCTTCTGGGAGTCGTAGTCCTAGGGCTAGAAAGGACAGCTTCCCACGTTTTCGTGGCTAGAGGACAGTGTTTCCCGAGGGCCGTGGGCAGCTAGCCAAAAGCCTGGGTCCTGGGGCCCAGAGAGAGGCGGAGACTGAAGGCTAGAAGCCCTTTCCTTAGCTTGGAAACCAGAGCCCCCAGGGTAAGCCCCCTTCGGTAGACTCTGGGAAAGTTCTAGTCTGAAAAGGGGGCTGTGACATCATGGAGCTATGGGCGGGGCCTCCCTTTGTTGCGGTCCAATCAGGCTAAGAGTTGGGCTTCTGGGCGGGGCCAAGGAAACCTCAGGGAATATCTCTTGGGAATTTGGGGCCCTGCGTGGGTAGCCGGAAGGCAGAGGCTTGGGAGTTCCTATTAGTAAGGGGCGAACCGTGGCTGTAAACCCCAGTTAAAAACTGTCTATACCACGCAACCAACCTCACCCTCACCACCCTCCTCCGCCAAAATCTTTAATTTTGGTCGTGGGAAAAAGAGTGGAAGGAGTGGCCTGTTCTTCCTCTCTGAAAGCCCTCAGAACCTGGACTCTTCAGCGAACCCTAGTGTTGGAAGGTACAACAGTCAGGAGTCAAGGTCGGGCTGCGGCTGTTTAGAGTGCTTCGGGACTCCTCGGTTTTCTAATGAGAAGTGTGCGCCCTGCAAATTGGGGCTCCATTAGTCTCGGGGAAGGGTTTCTCTCCGTTTAGCGTTCACCTCGGTTTGGGGTAAGAGGAGCCTCCCCGGAGTTCGGCGCGAACTGCGCGCTCTGGCCGCAATGGGGCCGTGGCGGCTTCCCCTCCTGGTGGCGGCTCTGGCCGGCTGCCTGCTTCCTGCCCGGGGCTGTGTCATGTGTGATCCAAACGTCGTGGGGGCGCTAAACTCCTTGGAGACGGATTACCTGCCTGGCCACCTGGAGGCCAAGCATCACAAAAACGTGATGAAAAGGGTAAAGCAGGCAGTGGAAGCTTTCAAGGACCTGCCGATTGACGAGGATTCCTATATGGGGGTCGTCGGTGAGGGCGGAGTGCGACCCCTGGGTCCTGGGAAAGGAGGGCTCTGGGGCTAGGATTACTGGGAGGTGCTGGGGAGAAAGGGCTGGAGGTACAGTCTCCTGGTTTCGGGAATGGAGAAGGCTGGGATGCACATTCTGGGGTTCCCCAGGGCTGGCAAATACTGTTCTCCCTACCTTTTATCCTGCAATTTTATTCCATATGTAATAAATAAGACTACAACTCCCAGAAGGCAACGGCGTGGGTTAATCCCTTTACCAGGCCCATCCTTGCCCATTGGCCCCCGTGGGTGTTGTAGTTTCTAAGACTAGGTGAGCCAATGAGACAGCAATGCTTGGAATCTGGGGTTTATCTCCCCCCACAGATGAGGCCACACTGGAGAAGGCAGCTTGGAGTTTGCTGAAGGATCTGAAACGCATCATGGACAGTGATGTAAAAGGTAAATGCACAGAGGGGGCAGGAGAGGGCTTCCAGAAACTCTGAGAGAAGTGATTGCTGGTGACACCTGGTCTGGTGGTCAGGTACTGGGCTCTGGAACCAGACTGCCTAGGTTCAAATTCTGGCTCTGCCGGTTTCCTAGCTGTGTGGCGTTGAGTGCTTTGTCACCTCTAAAATGGAAACCATGACACAGCCTTCATCCCAGTTGTTGCTTAGCCCAGTGGCCAGCATTATGTTAAGTGGTCATTAAATTGTATTGTCTTTCCCTGAGGAGACCCAAAAGCCAGGCTCTGCAGGCCGAGGTCAACTTCCTGTGCCTCACATCTGGGAGGAGCAGGAGGGTGGGGGTGGGGACTCCTCTGCGTCATCCTGCTTCTTCCCAGGCGAGCTCTTCGTGAAGGAGCTGTTCTGGACGTTGCACCTGGCAAAGGATAACTTTGCCAGCTACGCTGCTCAGTTTCAAAAAGCGGGTGAGAGAAGATGGGAGGCCGGCATCTCAGCCTTCTCTTTTCACAGTCCAAGAGTCCCTGACCCCAGCCTTCTGCTTCTCCGAGTCCCATCCATCAGCTCTCCCAACCCCTTCCTCCCTCAGACCCAGGGGTCCAGACACCCAAGTCTTTCCTTCCTGGAACTCAAGAGCCCCAGCCCTAGCCTGTTCCTTCACCCCCTCTCTCATCCCCTTTAACGTAGAAATCTGATTTTTTTTTTTTAATTCTTTCTACCGAGGCAGCGTTTTGTCCCAACAAATGTGGTGAGTCCGGATTATGGAAACTGGTCCTCTATCCCTCACCCCTGCCCCGTGAATACCCAGCCTCCCTCTTTTGGGTCTGTGTGTTTTTTCATTCTCCGCGTGGAGAGGTTCCTGGGTCTCCCGTATTCCTTTTGCACCTCGGACTTCTTGGGAAGCGGGCATATAGTTTTTGCACTCTTTACTGAGCTTGGTTAGACCGGCTTCCTACAGGGCTGTGTTCTAGCCCAGCCCCGCAGGCTGACCTCCTCAGGATTCGGCTCTTGAGCCCGCCCCAGCCCTTGGCCCTGCCCTCTCCTCTTAGCCCCGCCTCTTAGTGGGAGAACACAGCCTCGAACCTGCCCCTTCAGGTTTGATGTTGCAGCCTCTGATCTGGTGCAGTACCTGCCAGAAGCAGGTTCACTCTTGTCGAAAGTCCTCGAATTGCGGAGGTGAGAGAGCTGGGCGCAGCCGGAGGGGTTGGCGCGAGAGGGGCGGAGCCAGAGGTGAGATCAAGAGTCTAAAGAGGTCGGAGACTGGAGACAGCCAACAAGAAAAGGCGGGGCGAGACCAAGTGGAAGGGGGTTGGGAGAGGGCCCAGAACCGTGAAAGAGCATCCCACAGTAACCCCCTATTCCCAGAGCGCAAAGTCAAGGTCCATCAGATGGAAGATATGATCCTGGACTGTGAGCTCAACTGGCATAAAATCTCTCAAGGCCTGACCGATTACAGCTTTTACAGGGTGGGGCCCTCCAACTCCCGTTACCCTTGAACTCCATCAGGCTTGCATGAGCCCCCTGGCCCCTGTATCCACAGGCCTGCACCCATAATGCCCATGACCCATGACTACCAAGTTTGGCTTCTTCTGATCCCCTGGGAACCCATGCCCTGACCAGTACACCCTGGACTCCCATCTCCCCACTGAAGCCCCATGATCTTCTCACCCCTGTACTCCCCAACCCCTGAATTCCCCAGGCCTCTGTGACCCCTTGAGCTTGGGTTTAGGTTTGGGGGAACAATTCTGAGACCTTGATGTCCAAGGGGAAGGAGCCCACGCTGACCAAGACCATGGTGCGTCCAAAGGATGCAGGCACCTATCGCTGCGAGCTGGGCTCCGTGCAATCCAGTCCAGCCACGATCATCTATTTTCATGTCACAGGTCAGTGCTGGGGAGTTGAGAGAAGTGGGATTCAGGGTCCTGGTGGGGGGGGGGGGGCGGCTTCAGGGAGTGGCCTGCTTCAGGGACGTGGCTTATGGGGCATAACTTCCCATTGGGGTGTGGTTTCAGGCCACGAGGGTATGGCCTCCGGTCCTGAGTGTGGCCTCTGGCCACTGGGCCAGGGCTGCCTTGTGGGTGTGTTTGGGCTTCACGCAGTTGGAGGCGTAATTATGTCCCGGAGGGCCTGGGTCCTGGGGCAAGTTACTGTGGGAAGAGCTTGCCTTGGCCTTGGCAGGACCTTCGCGCCCTCCCAGGACTGCTCCTTAACCCTGTTCTATCAGTATTGCCCAAAAGAATCGTGGAGGAGATACCGTCACCAAATACTGAAACCAAGGATGAGGTGGCCCCAGGTGAGGTGACTTTGGATCGCCCCCAGACGGCCACAACCCTCCAGTCACAGTCTCCGAAGCCAGAGAAAGTGCTGAGAAGCCGCCTGGTCGGGCTGCTGATCTGGGGCTTTGTCGTGCTGATAGCCAGTGTTGCCACCGTGTGAGCCGCCCACTGAAGAAGGCAGGGCTTGGAGCGAGGGGCGGGGGCTTCCAACTACCTAATACAGAAGGGGGTCTCCAGCCAAGGAGCGCTGAGAGCCGGACTTCCTCTGGGAGCGGGGCTTACCTAGGAGGGCGAAGCTTGGATAACTGCTAGAATAAGATCAAACATAGGGAGGCCGAGAGGGGTGTTCCTCCCTCATTAGAACCTAACCTTGTTTCTGCTATTTGTACCCCAACCAGGATACTTTTATCTCGGTCTGGGAAAGTGATCGATTTCATAAAGTCCTCCTGGTTCAGCACTGGCAGTGGAGCTGCTCAGGACTCTGAGGTTTCAGAAGAAAAGGCCAAAGAATCAAGGAGAAAATAAATATTTATCTGGTTGTCTAAGTATCTGACTCACTCCTCCGGACTGATTCTAACTTTTGGTTCCCCTAGGGAAGCCTGGGGATGGTCTTCTGTCTGAGGGAGGAGGGGCTGGGAACCTGGTCCTGTGGGTCCTGGAAGGGGCCAACTGGCTGCGATGTAATTCCAGAATCAAGGAGTGGGGCCGGGCCAGCCTTCCCCAGGTCTCCTCCCCCAGGCCCGGTCCCCTCACAGGACGCCCCCTCCCCGCTCTTCCTGCCGGTTTCCTCTTGCCTTTTCCTGTCCCCCACCCAGTGCTGGGAGCTGGGGCAGAGGCAAAGGCTGAACAGGAGCAGCGGGGTCAGGAACCAACCAGGGCAAGCGGAGCCAGGGCCCCCGGGTGCTGCCGGGACCCGAAGTAGGGTAAGAGCTGGGGACCCAGGAGTCCAGCACCCTCCTCCCTCAGACCCAGGAGTCAGTCCCCAGCCACCCCCCATCCCAGCAACCAGCAATCCGGGCTCCCATCCCCTCCTCCGCCCAGATTCTGGAGGCTGGGTCCCAGACCCCTCCTCCCTCTGACTCAGGAGTCCAGGTCCCCCTTCACCCCATCCCTACCTGTCAAGGCCTCAGGAGCCGGGGCTTTATCCACCCTCCCTTAGGGCCATGCTATCTGGTGAGCGGAAGGAGGGCGGAAGCCCCCGTTTTGGGAAGCTCCATCTCCCTGTGGGCCTGTGGATCAATTCTCCCAGGAAGCAACTGGCCAAGCTGGGTCGACGCTGGCCCAGCGCTGTCTCTGTCAAGTGAGTGCCCACCTCCTCACGGCTCCTGCCCCTGCCCCACCTGCCTCCCATCTGTCCCTGTTTATGACCCAGTCCCTGCACTGGGTAATGCCAGGGAACCGGAAAGAGTTGGCTCCAGTTCCTGTCCTGAATGGGCAAGTGAGATGGCAGGCGGTAGGGGACAGTGGGCCCCAGTGATATAGGGTCCGGTGAGGGAAGTGCTGGGCCTGGAGATGGGTTTAGGCCAGTGGACACGGGGATAGGGACACAGTAGGAGTAGCGGTTTGGTTCACCTTCCTCCTCTCCCTGCTCACCTCTTGGAATTTCCTTCTGTGGGACTCGCCTTTATTTATTTTCTCTCCTTTGCTCTCTCTTTGCCTCTGGCTTCTGCCCACGCCACCCCCCATCTCTACACACCCCGCGTCTCTCGTCCTTCTGTGGGTGTTTGTCCCCCACTATCTCTGGGTGTCTGTCCCTCCCTTTCTGGGTCTCTGTTCCTCCCCGCCCCCCCACTCTGGGTCTCTGCCCACCTCTCTCTTTCTCTAACCCCTACCCCCGTCTCTGCATGTCTTTCTGGTTCTCTCTCCCGTGTCTCTGCTCGCCGGTGGGCTCCCAGGTCTTCGTCTTCGGACACGGGGAGCCGCAGCAGCGAGCCACTGCCCCCGCCGCCGCCGCACGTGGAGCTGCGGCGAGTGGGCGCGGTCAAGGCGGCCGGGGGAGCCTCAGGGAGCCGCGCCAAGCGCATCTCTCAGCTCTTTCGGGGCTCGGGGACCACGGGGTCCGGTGGCGCGGGAGCCCCCGGGACTCCGGGGGCCGCGCAGCGCTGGGCCAGCGAGAAGAAGCTGCCGGAGCTGGCGGCGGGCGTGGCCCCCGAGCCGCCACTGGCCGCCCGCGCCACGGCGCCCCCGGGGGTCCTCAAGATCTTCGGCGCCGGGTTGGCTTCGGGCGCCAACTACAAGAGCGTGCTGGCCACGGCGCGCTCCACGGCGCGCGAGCTGGTGGCCGAGGCGCTGGAGCGCTACGGTCTGGCCGGCAGCCCCGGCAGCGGCCCCGGCGAGAGCAGCTGCGTGGACGCCTTCGCGCTGTGCGACGCGCTGGGCCGGCCCGCGGCGGGCGCCATTGGCAGCTGCGAGTGGCGGGCGGAGCACCTGCGAGTTCTGGGCGACTCGGAGCGCCCACTGCTGGTGCAGGAGCTTTGGCGGGCGCGGCCCGGCTGGGCGCGGCGTTTCGAGCTGCGCGGCCGCGAGGAGGCGCGCCGCCTGGAGCAGGAGGCCTTCGGAGCGGCAGACGGCGACGGTGAGCTGGGGGTGGGTGGGGCGGGGAAGCCGGATTCTGGGGGCGGGGCCTGAGGAGGGAATGGGTGGGGCTTGGGGCGGAGCCATGGTGGGCGGGGCCTGAGGGCTGTTGGGACAGGATGGCGGGCGCCGGGGGAGGGTCCGCGGGACGGGGACTGCGCGGGACCTATAGCACTGGGTCTAGGGGAAGGCGGAGATGGGGCAGGACCTAGGTCAGCCAGATGGCCTAAGCCCGAGGACTTTGCTCTTGGGATAGGTGCAGAGTTGATGGGCGGGGCCTGCGATGCTGGGGCGGGGCCTCGGAATGGAGTAATAGGAAGGCAGAGATATTGCGCGGGGCAGATGAATGGTCCTGATGGCAGATGGCCTCTCAGTAGTAGGCTGAATTGGCTCGTAAGGGGCAGGGCCTATGTGGATGGAAGCTAGAAGGGGGACGCGCTTGGAAGGTAAAGAAATGGGCTATTAGATCAGGGCCTAAGAAAGGGCGGAGCCTCAGAAGGGTGGGCCTTGGACCAGGTGACCTTAGGCTGGGTTGGCTGCAAAGCCTGAGTGGGGGCTTGAGGGTGGTGCACCGGAAATGAAGCGGTATTTGTATTGGCCAACGACCAGGCTACTTGGGGGCCTAGTATTTGAGAAGGCCCGGCCTGGAACAGTAGGTGCACCTGTGATGAAATAACAAAGGAGGGGGCACAGTCTGGCAGGGGTGGGGCTGGGCTCACAAAGATAGTGTCTGCTCAGGGAGCCTTCTCACAGCTTTTCTGTTCCCGAGTCTCCCTTTGAGAGATAGAGTGGTGTAGCAGTTACATTCATGGGCTTTCTTCGCCGGTTAAACCCAGCAAAATCCTAGGCGAAGATTCAATGATATAATGCATATAAAGGGTTTTAGCACAGGGCTTGGCACATAGTAGTTGCTAAATAAAGAATGGCAATTATAACCATCATTGTCTTTTTTTCTTTTCCTTTTTTTTTTTTTCCAAAAAGCATTCACTGAACACCTTCTGTGGGCCACACATTATTTAGGGCCCTGGGGGAATACAGTGGGGACATTGACAAGTTCCCGCCCTTCTAGATTTCACAGCCCAGTGAGAAAAACATCAGTTCACTCATTCAGCTCATTTCCACTGGGCACCTACTAGATGCCAGGGCTGTGTGTGACAAAGTTCGGAGTGCCAGTGGTGCCCTTCTCTGCTTCGACTTGGAATGTCAGGGAAGGGTGTTCAAGAGGAGGTGGTTTCTGCTTTCCTTGGCGCAGTACCTTCTCTGTTCTTCGTGAACAGTTCTAGTGCCTAGAACAGTGCCTGGCACATAGTAGGGGCTCAAAAAATATTAACTGAAAGAATGAATGAATTTATGAGCTGAAATTACAAGATGGGTAGGAGTCAAGCAGGAAGTGTGTTCCAGGCACAGGGAACAGCATATGCAAAAACCTAAATGTGGGAAGCAGCCTCACCTCTTTGCAGCCAATTGTCTCTTTAGAATCTCTAGCTCTTTCCAGTCTCTGTCTCATCTTTCTCCATCTCTCTCGGCAGGCACGGGCGCCCCCTCGTGGCGGCCACAGAAGAACCGCTCCCGCGCGGCGTCAGGTGGGGCGGCGCTGGCCAGTCCTGGCCCGGGGTCGGGGTCAGGGCCCTCGGCTGGGTCCGGGGGCAAGGAGCGCTCGGAAAATCTGTCCTTGCGGCGCAGCGTATCGGAGCTCAGTCTGCAGGGTCGGAGGCGGCGGCAGCAGGAGCGCAGGCAGCAGGCACTTAGCATGGCCCCAGGGGCAGCCGATGCCCAAATCGGACCTGTAGACCCCGGCGACTTCGATCAATTGACCCAGTGCCTCATCCAGGCCCCCAGCAACCGCCCCTACTTCCTGCTGCTGCAGGGCTACCAGGACGCCCAGGTAAGCGCAACCTGTCCTAACGAGAGAGACCTATGCCCCACCCTTCGGTTGAATGGGCGGCAAAACTACAACTCCCAGAATCCCGTGGGTCGCGTTAGTCTCAGGTATGTTGGAAGGTATGGTCCCAGCCAGGTTCCAGAGTAGGAGATAATATCAGAGAAGAGAATGGGAGTGGTGGAGGTAGATGTCGGAGAAGGATTTCACTGGAGGGGCAAGTAGGCGATGATTCATTTCTTTCAAAGTTGGGAGAAAGCAGTGTCTTCCTCCAGGGAGAATGGGAGAGCCCACTTTATTTTATATTTTATTTTATTTTATTTTCCCGCGCTGTGCGACTTGCGGGATCTCAGTTCCCCGACCAGGGATTGAACCCGGGCCACAGCAGTGAAAGCCCGGTATTCTAACCACTAGTCCATGCCCAGCCGTAACTCCTGGGAGAGCCTATTTTAGAAAGATCTTCTTGGAGGCCTCTCTTTCTTGAGGGAGAGTAATGGAAGAGTATCTTCTGGGGAGGGAGATAATTTGATTGATGCCTGGAATCTTGTTCGGGGTAAGCCTATGTTGTCTTAGGAGGAGTGGATTGAATCATTTTTTAAAAAATATTTATTTAATTAATTTTATTTTTGGCGGTCTTGGGTCTTAGTTGCGGCATGCGGGATCTTTTGTTGCGGGCGCGGACTCTTCGTTGCAGTGCAAGGGCTTCTCTCTAGATGTGTCGCGCGAGCTCTGTACTTTGCAGCACGCGGGCTTAGTTGCCCCGCGGCATGTGGGGTCTTAGTTCCCCGACCAGGGATCGAACCCGAGTCCCCTGCATTGGAAGGCGGATTCTTTACCACTGGACCACCAGGGAAGTCCCTAAATCATTTTTTAAAGTTGATGATTTACTTTGGAACGATTGTGAACATTGTTGATGGGTACAGGTGGTAGTGATACTATTTTACATATATGAGTGGCAATAGGAGAACCTGTTTGAGTGTTGGGGAACAAGAGAAAGAAAGGATTAGTGGTTGGGGGCCAGTGGTAAGTTATTTCATTAAAGAAATGTAATGTATTATTGGAAATATTCGTGTGTGTGTATGTGTGTATGATAATTAGGAG